TCCATCTGACAACTAGGGACTCAGAAATAGTGAAAAACTTTTAATAGCAAGACAGTTGTGATTCCCAGTAATCCAATGACATCACTACCTGGGCTCTCCATTTAAACAGGATGCAATGAAATACTTGGTGTTTTGAGACCACACTACAAAATTTTCAGAATAGAGATTAAATAACTCCTTTTATCATGATCTTAGAGAGTGTCCTAAAGATGAACAATGACCACATGGATGGGATAGGCAAATACCACCACTAAACACAGCTATGATCCACATATTGAATGCAACATTTGCAGTCTCCAGTGATGGTAGCTGGGATCCAAGACAAAACAGTCCCTGCAGCAAATTCTTCACAGTAAGTGCCAGGTTTGTAGCAGTTTCCACTTTTGCTCCCTGGAGCCTTTCAATCCATCCTGTATAAGGTATGGGGAATCTCACTCGTCCACAGCGAAAAAGGCTCAGATCTAGTGCTTTGAGTCCTTCCTCTTGGAAAAAGAATCAGATGTTGTGTTGGCAGAAAGGAGGCAGGAGGAGGAAGCAGTGCATTGTTGCTGCACCAGCCTGCAGCAACAGGAGAAGTGGCGTAACATCTGGCTGGGCTTTTTAACCTGGAGTACTGCAAGGCCTGTGCAGGTCTCAGATTTCTTTTCACCTTGATGTCAAATCAATAGCAGTGAAAAGTATTTGTCTTCACAGCTGGTGTCTGCTTTCATCTTCAGAAATGATGACCTGCCTTTACAACTTCAATATCCGAAATCAATGACCTGGCCAGGAAAATCCCAAATATCTAAAGAAAAAAACATACAAAACCAGTAAGCAGGCAGACAGAACACACACATTCAAGATTTCCAGATCATGAGGCTGCTCCGAATAATAAAGAGCCTAATTCTGCCATCCTTAGTTAGGCTCGAATTCTGCAAACATTTAAGCACATGTATAACTCTTCTCAAATGAGCACGCTCATTAAAAGTCGATGAAACTACTCAAAGAGTGGAGTTATGACACGTACTTAAGACACACAGGTCTCAGGAACGTCTCACCCAAATAGCACCTCACTACTCAGTTGGAGTAAAGATGGCATAATCTGCCCATTTAATTTAATTTAAAAAAAAAAAAAGAGAAAGAGAGAGAATTTCATGTAACACTTCCAACTGTGATGCACGAGTCATATGAGTATTCCCAGCAATCTAAGAGTCAGATACAGCTAGGTTCCTTTAGTTCTAGCACTTTCCTATCACCTCAGTTACTTTTAGACACTTCAGGCATTTTCATTTTCTACCCAGACCAGTGATTCATCTTGAAGATTTATAAAAATCATAGCAAGGACAGAAGGGTCATCTAGTCTAACTCCCCTGCCAAAATGCAGGATTTGCTATGTCTAAACGACCCAAGACAGATGGCTATCCATCCTCCAGCAAGAGAGCTTCCACAACCTTTCAAGGCAGTCTACTATCCTTACAAGTAGGAAGTTTTAATCTAAATCTGCTATGCAGTAGTTTAAACCCACTACCCTATGCCCAGCCCTGTGGGGCAAGAAAGAACAACTCTTCCCCATCTTTTTATGGTAGCTTTTAAAGTATCCAAAGATTGCTTATCATGCTCATCATTACGCTCCTCTTTGATCATCATATAGCCTGGCACTGTCTCTCTCATTCAGCCAATATTGCATTTTGAAAGCTTTTCATATGGGCACAAAAGGGATGAAACATTTATTCCAAACTTGAGTGAGAAAAAATTCATATCATTTTGAGCCTTTGACACCTGCAACAGGGACCACTGCTGAGGACAGGTACAAAGGGGGGAGGCACCAACCAGATGACTGCTTCCTCCCCCCCCCGACCACATGATTCCTCCTGGGCTGTCCCTAGTCTGGGGGAAGGCCCAACAGACCTCGCCCCTCCTCCACCTCTTCCTTCTCATTACCACAGATCCCCTCCCCCAAACAAGGTGGCCTGGGAGACAAGCGGGGGGGGAACAACCTGGGATTTGCAGCAGGAGTAAGAAGCCCCCCCACACACACACACACTCCCAAACCCTCATAAGCACCAGCTCCCACCTGCCCCCCTGCATGTAAACATGTAACCACTAAAAACTTCAGCAGTTATCTGTTTACATGAATACACGATTATTAACATCCCTAATGAGGTCAGGATACATAGCTGGGAGTCAGGGGAGCAGGGCAGCCCAGGGCTGCATCACTCCTCTTGCTGCTGCCTTGTGCTGCAGGAGTCAGGCCTCCTCCCCCAGCTAGTTCCTCAGGTCACCCACCACCAGCTGCTGGCCCCTTGCCCCTCCCCCACCCTCAGTGTTTGGCAGGCACGTGACCCCTCGTGTTGCCCCCTGGCTTGTAAAGTTTTTATTTTCACAAAAATTGCCATGAATTTTTTTCAAATTACACACACACACACACACACACACACACACGTCCCGCAACATTCAAACACTTGGGTGTTTTCAATAAAATCAGGCTTTGCTTGAAAATAAATTCTGGGGCAATTGTGTGCATGTGCACGCGTGTTTAAAAAAAAAAAAATCAGGAAAAAACCTCACAGTTCTTACAAAAAGTTGATCCATTTTTAAAAATGTAAGAGGAAGTTCAATTTTCTCAGATTACATTTCACTGTTGGTATATCATGCAGTGTAAAATAATCTAAGGAGAAGATCTAAGCACTGAAGGCCTCTAAAGAAGCAGCAAAATGCAGGACAATGTAGCACTGTTCTATCACTATTCTCTAAAGAAGAGACTGTTAAAAATCAGACACTGCTTCTGTTCTAGTCCTAGACTTTTCATGAACACAGATTGACAAATACATTCACTGGTACCAGAACATGTGGTGATTTTATGATATTGATGGGGTGTGAAATTGTAATAAGACCAGCAAACCCATGTTAACTTGCAACAAAAGTACGCTTGAACGTAGGTCTATGGAAATACACAGTATTAGATTTTGATATAATGTTCTCACAAAACCCAAGGATTTCAACATTTATACAATATTTGTCTCCCCTCAACTACCATATAGGCAGAAATTCTGAAGGCTGAAGCTTTTACTGGAGCAGTAGGAGAATGAAACTACTGACCTGTAGCAATGAAATAGCTATGAAGGCTCCTGCAACAATGTAGATGTTCCGGGGCAGCCAAGCTTCAAGGGCAGGGATACAACCCTTGGTGAAAATTGAGTTGTCCCATTGGTTTTTATTCTGGATGGGGGAATGTAGAAGGGGGGGAGAAAACATGTTACTTTTTTTGGCTTATATTTACTATAAACCATGCAGGCAACGTTTCTTTCTACGTGTCTATAGCGGACAGAATTAGTATTTTAAAAAAGAATCCAGAAGTACAAAAACTAGAGACTCGTAACTCAGATCATCTTGAGCTTCATAAGTCAACACGTATTTCTTGTTGTGAATTGACTATTAATGAGGAACACACTTCAAAAGTTCAGATAAATTATCAGAAGCGTATAAACTTATTTAGCATACACTTGAATTTTGAGACTCTTCTTTCAATGACTATAGCCCCTGCCCGACTCCACTGCCAAAGGAAAACACTCACTCTCTCTTCTCCCCGTTTCTAGTACGGACAGACCCCCTCTGACAGGGTATAGGAAATTTCCAAGGCAGCTTTTATGCAGGTGATAGTATAGACTGGCACACACATGGTTATTTGTTCTCATAGAGCTGTAAGTCAAAACTACGTTATTGGTCCTGCATAAACATTGACTATTACTCTTAGCTTCCCAAATTTAAAAAAAGGTTGGTCACCATTTAATTTTTTTTGAAAAGTGAGCCAATCTAATTCACCATGTGTTAGGTCCCGCTTCTGAACAACCATCAACTAAAATCACCAACACTGTAGGTAGCAGATGCTCACCAATGCTCTGACGTCATATCCACACTGTGTATTCACAACCTTTTGCTGGGAGGGGAAAAAAAAAGTTAGAAATATTAATATAATTCTCACAGCTTGAGTTCACAGGGAGATATCTATCTGCAGAAGATTCATGATCAAACTACAACCAATAGCAACGGAGGGAACTTTTCTATCATCTGTTAATGGTCCATTTAAAAAAAAAAGAAAGCTTATCTTTCTATAAGATCATGAAACGTGCTGAAATATATGGCTGTTATCCTATTACTTATAGGCCCTACACATTCTTGCAAGCCTGTTTCTTCCATCACTCAGCCTTAAGCACCAAGGCCTACTCAAACAAGCTACAGCCCCCTCCATTGTATCACTATTCTGCAGACATCTCTTAACACTTACTTCTCGAAAGAATAATTCTCAAACACCGACACCTTCAAAGACTTGTGTCACTTCAGACAACTTGATGGAGTTGCATGGCCCAAGTCCCATGCAACAACTGCTGAAGGTTTTGGAGAAGGGATTTAAAAAAAAACAAAACAAAAAAAACAAAACAAAAAAAAACCCCCACACAAAACCACACACCAGCCAATTTATTTACATAAGAGTGCAGGGGGTTTTGTAAGCCAGTCACGCTGCCCTCCTTCCCTTTTCAGTGGCATGACTGTGATTGTGATCAGCTAAAAGCTGGACTTCTATAAATAAATAAATAAATAAATAAATAAATAAATAAATCACAAGCTATTTGATTTGGATTATTTTCGTACATTTAATCTACCAAGTAGCCAGATTCTAAAATTCTAACACCCTGAAAATAGGACTTGATATTGAAGTAAGGGTACTAAACACTGAGCCTTAGGGCAGGTTTACACTAGGAAATTATTTTGAAATAACTTATTATTTCAAAATAATAAATCCCAAAATAAACATTTCAAAGTAGTGTCTCCATGCTACGGAGAAGCATCGAAATTAGTCCAAGGCAAACTCCTGTTCAATGTGGATTCACCACCTGGACTTAGAATTCCAGGAAGCACTGGGAGTAATTACTTTGAATGACTCTGGGGAGTAGTTATTTCAAAATAGCAGCAGTGGAGTGTCCACACTATTGCTATTTTGAAATAACTATTTTGAAATAAACATTATTCCTCATGGAAAGCAGGAGTTATTATTTCAAAATAATGGGCTTGGTAGTGTGGACGCTCTACTTGGGATTTCAAATTAAAGGGTGTTATTTTAAAATAACTCTGTGGTGTAGACCAGGACTTAGAGAGCACAAAAACCATAGAAATTATGGGGCCTCAATGAATACAGAGCTACTTGTGAACCAGAGAAATTCTGAGAATAATTTAAAGACCACGGTTTTTATTATTTCAAAATAATGGGCTTGGTAGTGTGGACGCTCTACTTGGGATTTCAAATTAAAGGGTGTTATTTTAAAATAACTCTGTGGTGTAGACCAGGACTTAGAGAGCACAAAAACCATAGAAATTATGGGGCCTCAATGAATACAGAGCTACTTGTGAACCAGAGAAATTCTGAGAATAATTTAAAGACCACGGTTTTGTGAAGGATACTGCTTGCTTAATTATAGTTGCCAATTTACCACAATTTGCAATTATAGCAATTAAATGCCCAAAATAGCCTCTTGTGTAAAGAGGTGTTTCACAGTAGCGTATGCCATAAAGAACAGTTGATGGTGAAATCAAACTGAGGGGAACTAAGACAGTTTATTAAAATCAAAACACTTTTGAGAGGGGGGCATCCTTCAAAACTCTTCTGAAGCACTGAGATCCTACAATCCTCATGCTCAACCCAAGTCATAGCCCAGAAAGCAAGTCAGACAGACTGCTTTTGAGCACCAATCTAGCAAAGCACTAAAGTACACAAATCCCACGCAAGCCAATTTGATTACTCAGATTAACTCTACGCCCAGTGAGTCAGTGCTATTGTATCTATCATGGGTTTGATGTAGAATAGTTTAAGACTCTCCCTTCACCCTGGGAGCTGAGCACACAGTTCAGACAGAGGTCCCAGATCCTGTCAGCTTTGGGAACAAGAGATCAGGAACTGAAGGAAACAATGGATTACTAACGAAACAATACTTAAATTCAGCATCCTTGGTCTTAAGGGATACAAAAATAGTTTCTCTGGGACTGATAACCAGTGTCTTTCAGCAACAGACTAAGGTTACTTTAAATCTCCAAAGAATCTGGAACAGAAATGCACAATGAGAGTCTCCAGCAAGAGGAGCAGGTATAGTATGTGTTCTCAGAATCTGTTACCTCTGTCAGCTTTATTTACTCTTCCTATTTTTTCTTTAGGACTTTTCATACTCTCCCTATTCCCAAGCACGTTTTATTTCCAGGATATTTTATTATTCTCTCTCTTCCACCCAGTCTTTATGTCCCTTCTTTTTAAAACCCTAGTTACAGGATATCCAGGAAGAACTTCCCTTCAAAATTCTCCAATAATAATATAGGAATACAAAGCCAGGAAACAACTCACAGCGGGATCAGGCACACAGCAGGAAAAGGGGACTCCACATTTCTCACGACTTTTACTTTCGGTGCTGCAGTTGAAGTAGATGTTGAGATCCCAGTCATTTGGCCCCTGAGCACCACAGCAATGGTTCTGCAAAAGATGAAGAAAAGGTGCTGTGCACATCATCTTCATAATAGTCCCGTGAGATAGAAAAGTGTTATCCTCTCAATTTGACAGAGAAACCAAAGGAAAGAAGTGAAGTGACTTTGTGACTGTTTCCCCTCCCCCATGATTTATGACTATAAACATGGATAACTTGAAGGTGCTTTAGACAAACTACCTGATGTAACCTATCAATCTTAATGTTACAATCCGCTGGATGTATATGTGTTATTTTGGATACCACAGCCAATCTGGCAGCAGACCTATGTAACTTTGTTCTCACCCACAATTATTTCCAATTTGGGGACAACTTATACCTCCAGATCAGCGGCACAGCCATGGGCACCCGCATGGCCCCATAGTACACTTACATCTTTATGGCTGACTTAGAACAACATTTCCTCAGACCTCGTCCCCTTTTACTCCTCCCTTACTTATGCTACGTCAATGACATCTTTATGATCTGGACCCATGGCCAAGAAACACTGGATGCATTCCACAGAGACTAACAACCTACACTCCACCCATCAATCTCAGCCTGGGCCATTCAACACCATTTCCTGGACAACACAGTACAGTAAACTTCGGATAATCTGGCACCTTTAGGACGCAGGGGGTGCCAGATTATCAAATATGCCAGACTATCAGAAGGGGGGGCTGATAGAGTGGCGTGGGAGGGGATGCCACCCCAGACTCCTCATAGCCCCCGCTTACGATAGTCCAGCTCTGCAGCAGCTGAATCGGGGATGCCTGCAATAGAGCAGCTGGGGTGCTGCCGGGTTGGTCCCACAGTGCCGAGGGGCGGCGCTACGGCACCAACCCAGCAGCACTCCAGCTGCTCTTGGGGACACCTGGGACAGAGCAGCTGGGGTACTGCCCGGTTGGTCCCGTAGCGCTGCCCCTCGGGGTTGCGGGACCAACCTGGCAGGACCCCAGCTGCTCTGCCCCAGGGGTCCCCAAGAGCAGCTGGGGTGCTGCCGGGTTGGTTCCGCCGTGCCAAGGGTCGGCGCTACCAGACCAACCCAGCAGCACTCCAGCTGCTCTGCCCCAGGCGTGTCTGATTCAGCCGCTGCTGGTCAGGTTCAACAGCGGCTGAATCTGGACGCCAGTTCCGACTTACATACAGATTCAACTTAAGAACAAACCTACGGTCCCTATCTTGTACGTAACCCGGGGACTGCCTGTATATGAACGCATATACTGTATATAGAGTGAAATGTGAACATATTTTATACATTTGTGGTATTTATATTAAATGTAAATTTTCACTGTAGGAAGTTTTAATTTGATAGTATGTCCAATTCTCTTCTTTCTAAAGCGATGGACTTGGGAAGAAGACAAGAAACTGAAGGATTTGGATGCCGGACTAATGGAGTTTTACTGTAGTACAAATCACTAATGGAAAATTAAACACCACTCTACAGAAAACCCACTGACTGCTACACTTACCTACATGCCTCCAGCTTCCATCCAGGACAGACCATGCGATCCATCGTCTATAGTCAAGCCCTTAGGTAAAACCGCATCTGTTCTAATCCCACTGACAGAGACCAGAAACTTCAAGATCTCTACCAAGCATTTGTAAATCTCAAGTACCCACCAGGGGAAATAAAAAAAACAAGTTGAAAGAGCCAGACGAGTACACCCAGAAACCATCTACTTCAAGACAGGCCCAAGAAAACCAACACTAGAACACCACTTGTCATCACCTATAGCCCCCAACTTAAACCCCTCCAGCGCATTATCAATAACCTACAACCTATACTGGAACAGGATACTACACTCCGAGAGGCTCTGGGGGACAGACCCATAGTCTCCTATAGACAACTACCTAACCTCAGGAAGATTCTTACCAACAACTATCCAGATATATGTTGGGAAAATAACATAGCGGGGCACAGACTATCCAATAAGTTCTTGGACTGCACTGGAGACAACTTTTTATTTCAGAAGGTTGAAAAAGCTACCAGGGGGGAAGCTGTTCTAGATTTGATCCTAACAAATAGGGAGGAACTGGTTGAGAATTTGAAAGTGGAAGGCAGCTTGGGTGAAAGTGATCATGAAATCAGAGTTCACAATTCTAAGGAAGGGTAGAAGGGAGAATAGCAAAATAGAGACAATGGATTTCAGGAAGGAGGATTTTGGTAAGCTCAGAGAGCGGATAGATAAGGTCCCATGGGAATCAACACTAGGGAAAAACAGCTGAGGAGAGTTGGTAGTTTTTCAAAGGGACATTATTAAGGACCCAAAAGCAAGCTATTCCGCTGTGTTGGAAAGATGGATAATATGGCAAAAGGCCACCTTGGTTTAATCACGAGATCTTGCATGATCTAAAAATAAAAAAGGAGTCATATAAAAAATGGAAAGTAGGACAAATTACAAAGGATGAATACAGGCAGTCCCCGGGTTACATGGATCCGACTTACATCGGATCCCTACTTACAAACGGGGTGAGGCAACCCCGCACTAGCTGCTTCCCCCCAGCAGACCAGGGAGACGCGAAGCTAGCGCCCCCCCAGCAGACCAGGGAGACGCGGAGCGGCTTTTCTCAGCAGACACCTCAGCTTGAGAATAAAGGACTGAGGGAAGTGAGGTGTGGGAGAATAAAACTGAGCTCTGGAGAAATGTTTGGCTAGAGTTTCCCCTACAATATGTACCAGTTCCGACTTACATACAAATTCAACTTAAGAACAAACCTACAGTCCCTATCTTGTACGTAACCCAGGGACTGCCTGTATAGGCAAACAACACAGGAATGCAGGGGCAAGATTAGAAAGGCAAAGGCACAAAATGAGCTCAGATGAGCTACGAGAATAAAGGGAAAGAATAAGACTTTTTATAAATACATTAGAAGCAAAAGGAAGACCAAGGACAGGGTAGGCCCACTGCTCAGTGAGGAGGGAGAAACAGTAACAGGAAACTTGGAAATGGCAGAGATGCTTAATGACTTCTTTGTTTCGGTCTTCGAGAAGTCTGAAGGAATGCCTAACATAGTGAATGCTAGTGGGAAAGGGGTAGATTTAGAAGATAAAATAAAAAAAAAGAACAAGTTAAAAATCACCTAGAAAAGTTAGATGCCTGCAAGTCACCAGGGCCTGATGAAATGCATCCTAGAATATTCAAGGAGCTGATAGAAGAGGTATCTGAGCCATTAGCTATTATCTTTGAAAAATCATGGATGTCAGGAGAGATTCCAGAAGACTGGAAAAGAGCAAATATAGTACCCATCTATAAAAAGGGAAATAAGAACAACCCAGGAAACTACAGACCAGTCAGCTTAACTTCTGTACCAGGAAAGATAATGAGGGCAAATAATACTCAGAGAGTAGTTATTAATGGTTCATAGTCATGCTGGAAGGGCATAACAAGTGGGGCTCCAGAGGGATCTATTTTGGGACTGGTTCTATTCAATACCTTCATCGATGAGTTAGATAATGGCATAGAGAGTACTCTTATTAAGTTTGCAGATGATACCAAGTTGGAAGGGGTTGCAAGTGCTTTGGAGGATAGGATCATAATTCAAAATGATCTGGACAAACTGGAGAATGTTGTTATAAATGGTTCACAATCCTGCTGGAAAGGTATAACTAGTGGAGTTCCGCAGGGGTCTGTTTTGGGACTGGCTCTGCTCATTATCTTCATCAACGATTTAGATATTGGCATAGAAAGTACGCTTATTAAGTTTGCAGATAACAAGCAAGGAGGGCTTGCGACTAATCTGAAGGATAGGGTCATAATTCAAAATGATCTGGACAAATTGGAGAAATGGTCTGAGGTAAGCAGGATGAAGTTTAATAAAGACAAATGCAAAGTGATCCACTTAGGAAGGAACAATCAGTTTAACACATACAGAATGGGAAGCAACTGTCTAGGAAGGAGTATGGCAGAAAGGGATCTAGGGGTTATAGTGGACCACAAGCTGAATATGAGTCAGCAGTGTGATGCTGTTGCAAAAAAAGCAAACGTGATTCCGGGTTGCATTAACAGGTGTGTTGTGTGCAAGACATGAGAAGTCATTCTTCCGCTCTACTCTGCGCTAGTTAGGCCTCAGTTGAAGTATTGTGTCCAGTTCTAGGCACCGCATTTCAAGAAGGATGTGGAGAAATTGGAAATGGTCCAGAGAAGAGCAACAAGAATGATTAAAGGTCTAGAGAACATGACCTATGAGGGAAGGCTGAAAGAATTATGTTTGTTTAGTTTAGAAAAGAGAAGATTGAGGGGGGACATGATAGCAGTTTTCAGATACCTAAAAGGCTGTCATAAGGAGGAGGGAGAACAAGAAGCAATGGGCTTAAACTGCAGCAAGTGAGGTTTAGGTTGGACATTTGGAAAAAGTTCCTAACTGTCAGGCTAGTCAAACACTGGAATAAATTGTCCAGGGAGGTTGTGGAATCTCCATCTCTAGAGATATTTAAGAGTAGGTTAGATAAATGTCTATATCAGGGATGGTCTAGACAGTATTTGGTTCTGCCATGAGGGCAGGGGGCTGGACTCGACCTCTCGAGGTCCCTTCTAGTCCTAGTATTCTATGAACAACCACAGGACATACCACAATAATACCAACCCTGGAACTTTCCCTTGCAACAAACCCCATTGCCAACTTTGTCCATGTATTTACTCTGGTGACACCACAACTGGACCTAACCATGTCAGTTATATGACCAAGAACACATATTCCTGTTCATCCAGAAATATAATTTATGCTCTCATGTGCCAACAGTGTCCTTCTGCTATATGTACTGGACAGACTTCTCAGACCCTTTGCCAAAAAATTAATGCCCACAAAAATCAGACATCTTCACATGGAAAAACCAGTTTCTCTTCATTTCAACCTACCTGGACATAGTCTTAACGACCTTATTACATACATCTTACTTCAAAGAGACTTTAACACCAGATTACAGAGAGAAACTTCAAAACTTTTATTCATGCTTAAATTTGACACTACAAAAATGGGCCTTAAAGATGCTAATTACCTTACTCATTAC